ATTCTTTACTAGAATACCATTCGTGACAAGTTGACACGAGTGACACCTATCAAAAGCCAAATGTTTCTCCTTTTTCCCAAACTTTTGGAGTTGTTCTACAAGATATATAAACGAACAAAACATGAGTGAAATCATAATTGATCTCATTCATTCCGAGAATATCCTTAAAATCAAACTTCCATCTTTTGAAGGTTTGACTAGTGAGTGTTTCAATTTCGCGAGAAATTGATCGAGGGAGTGTTCATAACTGTAAGGATTTGCAAACGAAAGCATATTACATATTACTTTCCTAGAAACCGATTCTCAATTTGTTAAGAGAAACAGTTTAACTTCATTCACAAAACTAACAAATAATACATGCAAGCGTCCTTAATTAAGTATCACACCTTTGTGGCAAGAGATTACTTATAGCTTACACAAATTACATGTTATCTTGTGCCATTACAAATAAATTACTAGATAGATTCTATTTGTTGAAGAATCTTACCAAGCAATTCATGTATAATGCAATTTCCGGTTATTTTCTTTAGGGTTTGAGTATTTAGGTTTGGTTTTGTTATGAAAAATTTGTTGATTCTCAGAACAAAAAACAAACATATATTGGGCTCAGAAAAATAACCAAACAAAACATAGTTCAATAAGGAAAAACCCTAAAATTGCAGTGAATAGTGTTTCTGCGTGAACAGTATTTCTACTTTGAACAGTATTTCTGTGTGAACAGTACTGCCGTGAACAGTACTTTAGGGGTTCTTAGTGTCCGTTTTTGACCCAAAATACCTTTCTGAATAGGGAATAACATAATTAACACAACTCACAGCAAGGCTGTGATAGATGGGCATTTTTAGGGTTATAAGGTGATCTGCTAGGTCAAAAACGTGTTTAAAGTTTTGAAAATATGAAAACCGAATCAAAACATGCTTTTTCCAGATTCATTAATATTCTCAATATTTCAGAAAACATGTTCAATCAATTTTCAAAAATTAAACATAACCAAAAATAATATAGCATAACCAAATATGTAAACAAATGTAAACAGATTAGGCATGCTTGAACAACGATTACAGATATGTGTGAACAACCTAAGGCTCTGATACCAACTGTTAGATTTCTTTAGTAAATAATCTAGATCTTTCACACAAACATGTAATACGTATAAAGACATGGAAGACATACCTGGAGCCATCTTCCTTGAGTACACAGCTTTTGAACTCATCCTATCCGTTGCGCAGCAATCCTAGCAATTTATCAGGGACGGCTCAAGAACTTCTGCTCTCTCTCAGAATCTGTTTCAGCTCTCTCTTTATGATGAGAATAGGTTTTGAGAACGTGTCTGATGAGAGCAGGGCCTTAAGCTTATATAGGGCTAGGTCAAGTCGTCTCTACTCATCACCGAGGGCCGACTTGACTAATCTTCCAAGCCCACTTAATCGGTTCACGCAAAAAGGAAACAAAAATAGGACTCCTTAATAGGCCCTAAAACCTTTCCTTATTTCACAAGGTTTTGGGCCTCAAGGTACAACTTAATTTAAACCCTTATCAAACCATGTGACTTAGTATCTAGTGCACCGATCTAATTAGGAAATCATAACAGAGGATGCCATTGAAACTTATGTCTTAAAAGTGGCTTTCAAGAGGAAACCAAATGTTTTGACATGGTTTACTGGCATCTTCATAAAAGGAGTTAATCTTCATCGGATTGGCTCAGACATTGAGAAAATTACAACCAAAATTTCACAACTGAGTTCGATTATGCCAAGTTTTAACCTACACCAAACAAGGGAGAATGGAGGTGACACTTTTTTTAAGAGGCAACAGGAACGGAGGATAGCTTATCCTCATATTGTCGACCCTCATGTGGTTGGGTTAGCCCCTGGAACAGAGATATTGGCTACGCATTTGATCAAAGAAAAAGGCCCCCGAGTTGTTTCTATTTGGGGGATGGGCGGGTTGGGTAAAACCACTCTTGCAAAACAAGTTTATCATCATGGTGATGTTAAGCGTCATTTCGATTGTTTTGCTTGGGTGTGTATCTCTCAACAATGCCAAGCACGGGAAGTTTTGGAAGAAATTCTGACTAAACTCATTTCTCCTACCAATGAGCAAAGACAAGAAATTGCAAAACTGAAGATTGATCAAATAGCAGAGAGGCTTTGGAATACGCAAAGAGAAAGGAAATGTTTGGTGGTGCTTGATGACATTTGGACCAGTGGTGCGTGGAGCTCTTTGCAAGTTGGATTTCCAATGAATGAGGAAACTGAGAGTCGAATTTTACTCACTACTCGCAACAAAGAAGTCGTTTTGTATTCAGACAAAAAGGGTTTCCTCTTTGAACCACAGTCGTTGAATGATGATGAAAGCTGGGAACTGTTTGAGAAGAGAGCAATGTATGGAATGGAAAATACAAGTATGTTCTCATACAAATCTTTTATCTCTACTTTTCTTGTTTATCAATTCAGCGTGTCAACGAACTTTTTCTTTGCCACTCTAAGAAAATTCTATAAGAAACTCTGCAGTTCATGTTTATACTTTTTATTGGTAGAGATCTTTATATTCCTAGAAACTAATTTAGTTTAATTGTATTAAACTTTATTTTAATTATCAGACAACGGATTCGAGAATTTACTATACTCCATATCAAAGGTGAAAAATCAGAAACTCTTGTGAGTTCTAGAGTGAAAATCATTGTAGTAAATGACTGATAGAATGGCACAATTTGTTTTGTAGAATTTTCATGCAATTGAACACATGTAGTTAATTAATTTGGTCTTAATATTATTTTTCAGACCCTAAAATTTATGAACAAAAGAAAGAGCTAGGAATGGAGATGCTTCAACATTGTAAAGGTTTGCCACTAGCCATCACGGTGCTTGCAGGACTTCTAGATAGAAAAGACACAGTTGATGAATGGACTACGGTGCATAAGAATATTGATGCATATATAAGGAGAGGCACAGACCTTGGGCCCAATTCCAGAGGTGAAGGATATGAAGGGGTATCATGGTGGTTGGAATTGAGTTACGACAATTTATCATATCACTTAAAACTATGCTTTTTGCACTTAGCCCATTTTCCAGAAGATTATGAAATACCGGTGAGTACATTGACTAAACTATGGATGGCAGAAGGTTTTATATCATTTGCACCAGCGAAAGAAATGGAAGATGTATCATATAGGTGCATAAGTGAGTTGGTGGGCAGGTGCATGGTTCAAGTTGGAAAACATGGTTCAAGTAAAAAAATCAAGACTTGTCGTCTCCACGATCTTATGCGAGACTTATGCACGTTAAAGGCAAAAGAGGGAAACTTTCTCCATATTATCAATTATTCTGCAGCTGCAGAGATCAAGCCAACACCAAATGATAGAGTTCGAAGACTTGCCATCTATTTGGACAAAACAGTTGATAGATATAGTCTGGGAAAAGATGAAAATTATGGACATGTTAGGTCTTTGTTATACTTTGGCCGAGGAAACCACTACTTAATGAACTCAAAGGTATTACGGTCACTATTCAAGAACTTCACATTACTTAGAGTTTTGAAGTTTGAATTTATGAATGGTAGAGAGTTAAAGTTACCAGATGAAGTTGGGAATCTAATGCACTTAAGGTTTTTAAGTTTGAAGGATAGTATGATTAAAGCGGTGCCATCATCTATAGCAAATTTGGTATGTTTGCACACTATGGATTTACGTAGCAGGTATGGGTATATTAAAATTCCAAATCGAAATGTGTTTTCCAAGATGGAAAAATTGAGACATATATATTTACCCAAACATCATAGTGCAAGAGAAAAACGTCTGTTATTTGCTACTGAGGCAGTGAATTTGCACACGGTAGTCAATATTGGTATTCAGGGATCTGATCTAGATGATTTTATTAAACTAACCAACATTAGAAAATTGGGAGTTATCACATTTGACGAAGGGGAAAAAAAGTTGAAAGGGACAAACATCATATTTAAGCATCTCCAGTCTCTATCGGTGGACTCTCGTTTCGAGGATCTAGCAATACCATGGAACAGAGTATTAAGTTGTCCTAATATACACAAGCTGCGACTACGCGGACATATCACAGAGTTACCAGAAGACCTCCTGTGCCTTAAGAACCTCACCAAGCTTAAACTGATAAATTTTGGTGATCTCAAGGACGACCACATAAAAGTATTAGAGAAGCTGCCAAGCTTGAGAATGCTTTTTGCTTGGAGCGGGAATTTTCCAGCACATCTTGTTTGCTCAGAGGGAGGCTTTCCATTTCTCGAATTTCTTTCTCTTTATTCGTTGGAGTTCAAAGAATGGAAGGTGGAGAAAGGAGCCATGCCTAGTCTCTGCAGATTGCACATTGAGTTTTGCACATTGGAGGCAGTTCCTGATGGGCTCCAATATATTACTACCCTCAAGGAATTAACCATCGGAGCGATGCTTCCTGAATTCTTTAGCCGGCTTGGGGAAGGAGGAGAGGATTTTTACAAAATCCAACATGTGCAGTCTGTTATTATAACAAATAACAAGAGGATATATGGTATGCTAAATTTTGTTTTTCTCTTTTCTTATTTATTTTTTGCAGTCTGTAATCAATGTTTGTTTCTTCTGTTTAGAGCAGATTAGGTAAACAAGTGAATGTGGACTTCATGTGGATCACTAATTCATCACTTCCAGATAAAAGAGTGAATTAGCTTTAGATGTCAACTTTGATTTGTTGTCATATCATATCATGAAAACTTTCGGCAGAAAAAATTGAATTTCTAAAATGTCAATGTTGAACCAATACTATATCACAGCCACCACACGTGTGTGGATAGTTCCAAAGAAAAAAAATCAACATCAGTATGCGTCAGCAAGTATGTCACTTAATATTTTCTTGCTCTCAACCCATAGTCCTTAACTTTATTTTTAAGCTTTCATTTCATTTGTGTTTTGTCTCATTGCTCGCTAGCCAGTTTCTCACCATGGAAATCTGGTTCCTTATCCTCGCCGCTCTCTGCATCTCTTTTCTCCTCAAACCCCTTCTCAGTCTCTTCATCCCCTCCATTTCCAAACCCACCGAGCAACCCACACTCCCTCCTGGGCCCACCCCCATCCCCGTCATCGGCCGGTTCTTATGGCTCCGAAGATCCTCCTCCGAAATCGAGCCCATCCTCCGAAACCTCAAGGCCCAATACGGGCCCATCATCACTCTCCGCATTGGCACCCGCCCCGCCGTCTTCATCGCCAACCGCTCCCTCGCCCACCAGGCCCTCATCCAGAACGGCGCTGTCTTCGCCGACCGCCCGCCCGCCTTACCCACCAACAAGATCGTCAGCAGTAACCAACACAACATCAGCTCCGCCGTCTACGGCCCCACGTGGCGCCTTCTCCGCCGCAACCTCACCTCCGAGATCCTCCACCCTTCCCGCGTCAAATCCTACGGTGAGGCCCGTAAATGGGTTCTGGATATTCTCATCAACCGTCTCGGATCCGAGTCTCAATCGCAGTCCAAAGGCATCAGAGTGGTAGACCATTTTCAGTACGCCATGTTTTGCTTGCTGGTTTTGATGTGCTTTGGGGACAAGTTGAACGAAGAGCAGATCAAAGAAATCGAGGGCGTTCAGCGCCGCTTGCTATTGAGGTTTGGGCGAATCAACATCCTCAACTTTTGGCCCAAATTGACAAAAATTCTGTTGAAAAATCGCTGGAACGAACTATTTCAGCTCCGTGGATCATGGCCAACATAGTTAAGTACCCACAAGTCCAAGACAAGCTCTTTGCAGAGATTGAAGGGGTGGTGGCAGAAACAGAGGAAGAGGTGAAAGAGGAGGTCTTGCACAAGTTGCCATATCTGAAAGCTGTAATCTTGGAGGGTTTGAGGCGTCACCCACCGGGGCACTTTGTGCTGCCACACGCCGTGACCCAGGACGTGGTTTTGGATGGTCATGTGGTGCCCAAGAACGGTAGTGTCAATTTCATGGTGGCTGATATGGGGTTGGACCCAGAGGTGTGGGAGGACCCCATGGCATTCAAGCCTGAGAGGTTCTTGAGTGGTGGTGAATGTGGAGGAGCAGAAGGGTTCGATTTAACAGGGAGCAGAGAGATTAAGATGATGCCGTTTGGGGTAGGGAGGAGAATTTGTCCTGGCTCTGGTTTGGCAGTGCTTCATCTGGAGTATTTCGTGGCCAATTTGGTCTGGAAATTTGAGTGGAGAGCTGTGGAGGGAGATGATGTTGACCTGTCGGAGAAGCAAGAGTTCACTACGGTCATGAAGAATCCATTGCAGGCCCATTTATCCCCAAGAGTGAAATAAGTGAGAGAATGGTTGTTTTGATTGATTGTGTGTAATTAAGGACTTGTTGTAGACTGCATAACTCTTGAAAGTGTTTTACCACAAATAAAATAAAAAATATAGGTTATTACTTATGCGACTCAGAAGTCACAATTTGATCCATTTCTCATTGTGTCAAATGAGTAACGTGCCTTTTAAGATAACAAGGTAAGAATGAGGTGAGAGGAAGGAAAGACGGAAAGCTTTAATTTGAAACAGATGCTATTTTCCAGTAGAGAACAATTTGGTCTAATAGATTTTGCATTTTGGTGTGTGCATTGTGCGTGTAAATGCCTTGCATTGGATGATGTATTTTTCTGCACAAGTAGCCACTCCGTTCAGGGAAGTCTTTCAAACTTCCACATAAATAATTATAGAATGCTAGGCTTACCACATTTTTCATACCACATTTGTACCATATCTCTAATAGTAGGCTTACCACATTTTTCATACCACATTTGTACCATATCTCTAATAGAGGTGAAGCCCACCAATACATTTTCCATCATACAAAAGACATGGGACGTTTCAACTATATATGCGTGGCAGCTTCAAATACCACCAAGACATAAACATCCAGTCAACTTCAGTGTTCTTCAGCAACTCTTGGAATTACTGACTCAGAAATCACAATTGAATCCGTTTCTCATTGTGTGAAATGAGTAACGTGCCGCTTAAGAAAAGAAGGTAAGAATGAAATTGCAAACACAGCTTAGAGATTTTGAAATAGCTTTGCGTTGGTTCTGAGACAGGAAGGAAGGACAGAACTTTAATTTGAAATAGATTTTGTATTTTGGTATAAATGCATTGCATTATGCGTTCTTCTGCACAAGACTAGTTGCCATTCTGTTGAGTATTATAAACAGCCCGCACACATTCAGGAGTCCAAATGACAATTCAGTATGATCTTTCTCTTGTTGCCATTCTCTTGAAGATTGCCTTGCAGGGCTATCTGATGTATTAATGCTATTTGAGGTTTAACCTCTTGTTTGGGCCTAATTCTGCCCACAAGACTGTGCCCAATATTTGGGCTCTCATCAAATTGAAAATTAGGCTTTATTTACCACAAATGGTGGACGACCCATACTGTTCAGCATCTCGGTTCTTATTAATTCAGCTCAAAAGCACAAGGCAGAAGTCAGGTTTTTATAGCCTGGTCATCATTCTGTGTTTGTGTGGTAGAAGATTGATTGCTGCACCACCGTCAATCATTACCTTGGCCACTGGCACTCCTCAGAAAAACGGGTAAACACATGCTTAAAAAAAAGTAATTTCTTTTTTGGGTCAAACATTTAATAAGGTTTACTTCCATAAGACTAAAAAAAATTGGTCATGTATCAATGGGGTCTTGTCCAATAGAAAATTACATTCACATGCAGGCGTGTTCTTAGGTTACCACATCCCCCTCCACAATTGCAACTACAAAAAGTAAAACCTACAAGAAGAGACAACCACACATCCACCAAACTCTTCCAAGACAGAGGGGCGGGATGTTGAAGTGAGTCTCCTAATTAATCAAGGAGATTTATTTCCTTGATTAATTAAGGGATTTACTTTCCTATTTTATATAGTTGTCAAATCATTGTATAATTAGGAGATATTTTCCTAATTCTTTACTATATCTAATTCCTTGTAAATGACTCATGTAAACTCTTATATATACCTCATTATGGAGAAGAATAAAATAAGAACCTAACATATTCAAAACCATATTCATATTTTAGCATGGTATCAAAGCCAGGCTGGGATTCGGATTCTGATTCTGATTTGGATTTGGATTCAAATTTAGGTTTGGATTTGGATATTCATGGCAGCGGAAGGATTGAAGAATAAGAGAAAAAAGATGTGTTTAGGGTTTCGGGATAAGAGTATATGAGGATGTGGGTATGAAGATATGAATCTGAACAAGGAATTTGATTTAGGATACGAGGATACGATACGAGGATATGAGGAATACGATACGAGGAAATTCGATAAGAGGAATACGATATGAGGAATGTAAAGAACACAGAAACCCTGTGAACACGTCTAAGAACACAGAAACCCTGTGAATTTGGTTAAAGGACACAGAAACCCTGTGAACACGGTTAAGAACACAGAAACCTTCTCCTCAATTCTCTTCTCCCCCTGAAGAGAAGGGTATGTCGGAGTCAAAAAAGAGGCAAAATCTCCATGAGAAAGATAAACAAATCATTTTCACTCCCCCTCCCCCCCTTGAAGAGGAGGGGAGGAGAAATTTTGATATGAGAATTTAGAGACAACCGAGGCCCGAAGCAAACGACCGGTCGCCCGAAGCAAACGACCGGTCGCCCGAAGCATACGACCGGTCGCCCGAAGCAAACGATCGGTCGCCAAAGACTCTGCCTGAATTGCATGGATTATCGACTTGGGTGCTACGAATTTCATGACTCACTTACCAAGTTGGGCATTTGTGACGTATATGCACCAACTTGAGGAGGAGTGTTGAAGTGAGTCTCCTAATTAATCAAGGAGATTTATTTCCTTGATTAATTAAGGGATTTACTTTCCTATTTTATAGATTTATTTCCTTGGTTAATTAAGAGATTTACTTTCCTATTTTATATAGTTGTCAAATCATTGTATAATTAGGAGATATTTTCCTAATTCTTTACTAGATCTAATTCCTTGTAAAGCACTCATGTAAACTCTTATATATACCTCCTTATAGAGAAGAATAAAATAAGAACCTAACATATTCAAAATCATATTCATATTTTAGCACGGGAATGGAAGGCTGAGGTACAGAGGTAGAGAGAGGAGGCTAGGGGAAGGTCTTGGATGGTAAGGAAGGGAGAATGATGGAGGCCATCGATCTCTTTGAGGGATGGCGGCTGAAACTTCTCTCTTAGGATGTTAGAAAGGGGCAAATCACACAATTTCATGACATGGTGGCATAGTTGTAAAACAATTTTTTGTTCAAGTTGACTGAAGTTTTATATTCAGTTTTTAAAAGCCAAAGAGAAGCGTACGCGTTGGAGTAAAAGAAAAATTGAGTAGTTCGTGGGCATTTAACAATAGTTTCATTCACCTCAAGAAGAGGCGTGACTCTAATTTCCAACTCAAGCTGAGTTGTAGTTGACTGTTAGCCAAAGGGACTCTGTCTCTGTGTAAATTTTGAAAGAATAAGTCTAATAACATATTTACAAAAACAAATAAATAAATAAATAAATAAATAAATATATATATATATATATATATACAGTGGTTATATATAAAGTATACAACTTGCGCATGACAAAAGGCTTTGTTTTCAAAGGTTTTTGTCTCCTTATATTAGTTTCCAAGTTCCAACTCTCAAGTGGAAAATGTAAAAAATAC